GAAGAGAAGAGAAGAGAAGAGAAGAGAAGAGAAGAGAAGAGAAGAGAAGAGAAGAGAAGAGAAGAGAAGAGAAGAGAAGAGAATCACACATAACTGGACAGGTTGCTTTAAGGATAATAATGGTTTCCTATAAATATTTCTTTACAAGGTAGTTACCATATTGCCTCTAATCAAGAAAAGAAAGCATAAGGACTTCCGGTTTGCAAGGTTTCGGCGGCGGCAGGGATTCGCGATACTGCGCGATCCCTGCTGCGTTCGCCGCCAAGGTTCCCCCGATCCGTTTGGATCTGGGGGATATAGCTGCCCCGTAGAGGCAGCCGTAGAGGGGGGATCTGGACAGGGGCTTGGGGGTGTTGCAGACCCCCTCCCCAACCGGCAAAACCCCCTTTTCCCAAGGCGGAGGAACGGCGGTCAGCAATGGCCGCCACGAAGAAATCTGCAGCCGGACAAGCAGATGCAGGAGGGAGAAAGCTGGAAGAAATATGAAAGCTGCTTTCAACCGGGACAAGGCAAGAGAAAGCGACCTGGAATCTTGAAGGCTGCTAAGTATACATTGTTTCTAGTGAGAGTTACAAGCTGCGAATATCCTAAAAGGGAAAGTTTTTTTTTCCCCATTTCACTCTCCTTCCTAACGTGACAGCGGATGGGAAAAATATTTTTGGCTGTGAGTGGGAAGGGAGAGGGAAAAAAATTGGAGCAAAATTTGAAAATAAGGAGAAGATTGTCTAGAACTTTAAAGAGTTACTAAACATCAATAAGGCTTCTAAAAGATATATTTTAAAGGGAACTTTGTGATTAAACTTTAACCCCAGAAAGAGAAAGGGAAGAAGGAGAAGGTATTTAAAAGAAACAGCTTGTTTGGATTGTTTGGTGATTTTGGAACTTTTGAGAATTATTTCTGATTAAAAGCACTTGGGTGGTTGTTTGGAAAAACTTTTTCTCTACACAATGGCATCACTTGTGGATGGACTAAAACTTGTATATCAAAAATATGAAAAAGAAAAGCAAGAAGGGAAAGATGTCCTTGGCACTCTTTTTCAATTTTTAGAAATGGCGGTTTATACTTATGTAAAGCTGAATGAGCTACAGGATGGTGGGGACAAAGAAGAAGCCATCTTTGATGAACAAATAACTTTGGTCGGAGAAGGGAAAAAGAAAGAGAAAAAGGAAAAGAAGACTTTAAGATCTGGAAAAACAACCCAAAAAGAGAAGAATAAGGTGAAAAGGGGACATTATGTTAGGAAACAACAGAAAGGGGGAAAGCAGAATAAAAGGGAGGTGGAGAGACAAGGGGGTAAAGAGGACAAGGAGAAGAAGAAGCAAGGGAGAAAGGAAGGGATGAGAAGCCTTAATGGTGGGGAGCAAGATGTGAAGAAGCAAAAGTTTTTTAGAGATAATGGATAAATTTTATTGAAAAAGGGATTCTAGAAAGGTACATAAGATTGCATTTTTATATTTGTATTTAGAAATAACCATAGAAAATTGGAAATAATATGTAATTTAAAATGTGATAAAATATTTAGTATAACCTAGTGAAATTTTTGTTAAGAAAAAGGGAGTACTGTAATGAAATATGATTTAAGATATGTGATGTGTGGGGGGGGGAAATAATTTTGGAAAGCATAAGTGTTCCCACAAAGGCATGATATTTAATTGAAATGAGTAAAATGTTTAAGATGTAAATGATTGTTAATATTAATGATTAGACTATGTTATCCTAGTGAAACTTTTTGTGAAATGAGAGATTTGAAGTAGAAGAAGGAGGAACATTGTAATGAAATAATGAGCTACAATATGTGATGAGGGGGTGGGAATAACTATGGAAAATAGGTGCTCCCATAAAAGTATGTAATTTAACTGAAAAGTAATGTGTTAAATGTTTAAGATATAAATGAATATCAATATTAATGAATAGACTTGTATTGGTTTTGATAATATAGTATAATTTTAGAATGTACCAGACAGAATCCCAATGAAAGTTATGTGTTTTATATTAAGTATTATAAAGATAGGGGAAAGAGATAAAGGCATCATACTCCATTTAGTGTATAGGAGAAGTTTTTTTTTCAAAGAAGAAAGATAAATGGATAGCTGGAAATAGAACAGACAAAGAATAATAAATATTATGATTTGAATTGAGAGGAGATAAATAAAATAAAATTGAGAAAATCTAAAAGAGAGGAGAAGCTATATAGAAAATTGAAAATGTTAATAAGATATAAAATGGTATGTAAAATGAATATGAATTTGAATTTGTGTCTGTACCAAGAGTTTTAACCTGGGACCAAGCAACTTTCAGAAAAGAGATTTTTTATGTTTTTATGTTTTGTGTTTTTGTGTATTTATGTTTTGTATGTCTTTAAAAATTAATAAAATTTGTTTAAAAAAAAGAAAGCATAATAAGAATCAGAGCAATTTTAATGCTACCCCATTGTGATTTTTCTACATAGTATGCTAAGCAAGCAATGCAAGTAATTTATTCTTCTCCCCCAAAAGATGGGACATGCCTCAAGAGGTTGAATAGAAAGCAAACTGGTCCCTTAGGCATAAGGAGGTGCTCTGAGTTGAACCACCATGTCAGTTTTGGGGCCAGACCTCATGGGGTGGGGGGCTAACCCTAATGCAGATGACTTTCCCATTTCCAATGGGGAAACCAGTTGCAGCCCACCACTGGTTATAATGACATAATTAGTACATATTTTATGTGTTCTTTAATGGAGGTTTAGGTAAAGTGAAAAACGTCCTCTGCTAAACTAAGAAACAACAGGACGAACTATATTTGTTAGCATATAAGATAATCTGAAATTGATTTCATTGAAAAAGAACAATTTTGGTTTTTTTCTAACCACTTTGGCATGCACAGAAGAACACATTGCAATATGGGCCTTTTACTTTAAGAAGTGTAATTACTTACAAAATAAATAGAAACTATGGATTCTCCAGGAAAGCCATCTAACATAACAAAACTAGCCTCAGTGCAATGCCTCTCTAATATCACTGAAAATATGCAAGCCTTCTGCATTTGATACCAGAGGCATTGTACCAGGCATTCTTAGTTAGGTTATAATATATTATAAATGCATAATATTATATTTCAGCGCACATATGTATATCAAAAACGCATGCTATTTACCTTTAGGTATATATTCTTTACATATTTTTATAAAGATACATTTGTAAAATCAATGCAGTTTGCAAATCGGACTTTTTACATTTCTAATCTATAAAGAAGCCTCCTTATTTATTTTATTTTGCTTTGACTATTTCACAAAATAGTACAAACAAAGCAAAACTAATCACCAAGCAGATGGCAGCTTACATAATTCTGCCTCTGTAGCATTAGTAGCTCTTTATTAAAGGTATATTAGTGACTTAAAATAAGTCAGTGTTCTACTTTTTGTGAAAAACCAGTTGTTAAAATTTCATTGTACTGTGCAAAATATATTCCGAAGAACTGAATTTGACTTTTACTTAAAGGCTACAAATTGTTTTTCCCCTAGTAACAAAGACTGTAAGTGAAAGAGAAATAGTTCTAAGGAATCACATAGTTCACTATTGAGCTCAACATGGGATAATGAGGACATGAAAAAGAGGATATAAGCTCTTTCCTTTCTTGTCACCTTTCTGTCTCTATCCCAGTCAACATTCCCAAGTAGTTTTAAAACAACATAAACTGCAAGTAAAGATCAGGAAGAACATTTTGGGATTAACATTTCCACTCATGGAAGAAGTTATCTCTATTATCTGCAAAGGACAAGCTGTGTTTCAATATCACTTGGAAAGAACAAAACCACAGCCACTCAATTCCTCTCCTAATTAAGACAAGGATATCAATTCCTGGCTATGAATCATGCAGAATATTTTCAGTGCTACCATGGGGAGGACAAAATGCTGGGAACAACAACACTACAGCAAATAAACCAATTCCGTATTGTTAAAGTGACAGGCAGGTGCTTCAGTTTAAAATATTTAATGGACAATGGGCCTGTTAATTCTTTGGAGACTTTCTTTTTTAGTGTCATGGCTGCAACTCAAACATTTTTTTTTCAAAACTGCACCTGATCTGAAAAGGCAATGCAGATCAACAGTCCCTCCACAGAGAATTCTAACAGACTTCACAGCATCTGCGAAATAAGCAGCATTAGCACTTCTGTGATTCATATAAAAGTCTTCTAAACAAGGTTCACCTCCACATACACAACTGGACAAAAGAGTCTTTTCTGAATGCTGTTAAATTCTGTGCCAATGAGGATATCATTACAATATACATTATTTGTCAGTTTGTGTGAAACCCTCTGACTAATCAGATCTTCTGCCAATTCTACATTGTCACTATCAATCTCCGTACCTGTAGTCACACCAAGGACATCTGTAGGGTTTTTCCCCAGTATGTACACGTTTGTGTCGTGTCAGATGGGACTGGGTTGTGGAGGCAAAGTTACATTCATCACATTTAAATGGCTTCTCTCCTAAAAATAAATAAAATAAAAATGATTCATTTTTAGAAGTAGAAAAAGCAAGGTTATTCTTTTTAATGTTTAACTGTGATCTAACAAGAGTGAAAAATAGAAGATTTTAAAAAACTGCAAATTATTTTACTTATTTCAATGTGTGTATTATGTACATTAACTGTTTTTCTCTGGCTTAAATGGTTCTGTTATCACTGTGGCTTGTCATTTCCATAAAATCACTAGTTGTGTTAAATTGTATGTATTTAGCAGCCAATACAAATAATCTGCTATGAATTAATTTGCATATATGCTATTATATTGGATGTTTATCTGCTTTTAGCAAACAATATGGTGGAGATCAGTCTTTGTTACAATTTGAAGCATGGTAACAGATTCTTTATGGATAACTTATCATTAACTAGTATTATGTGGTTGTATGCATATGCTAATACATAGTGTCTAGCCCTAGACTATAAAACAGATTCACAGTAACAGTTATTTTAAAAAAATTGTGATGTTATATTTTGAATCTTATTTCCAGGTAGGCCTCCACATGTGAAAGTGAATGACTTTTCCCACTTTCAGATTTCAAGCCAACATAATTTCAAAAGACAGGACTGAGTTAGTTTTCAAACTGAACAGATGTTCAACAATTTATCACACAATAATGCATGTAGATAACTAGAAGCACTTGACAGGAAAGAGACTGGATGAACAAAATAATGGCAGTAGCTTAATCAGAAAAAGAGAAAATAAGAGCATGCATGGTATTAGCCCCAAATAATCCACCCTTTACTCTGAATCAAAGATAGCTCCGAGAGCAGGTCTGCTAGTATATCTTTAACAACAGCCTAATATAAAATTTCCTTTACAGCAAAGTAGCTCTGCCAAGTTTGTGCATATATTAAACAACCTAATTTGCACATTTACAAATAATTTGCACATAGCCTTAATATGCTAATCTGTGTTGAAGATACCGGGTGAAAGTAACAGGAGAAATAACATGTGTCACTTTCAAAAATTCACTTTCATGATTTCTTAGAGGTGTGCGGGTATGTGTATGTTAGCTGGAGAATGGATGACTGCAACAGTGTTTGTGAGAGGATATTATATTCTGGAACAAAAAAATATTCCCTACTTTCAAATACGTATTGATGGAGACTATTGTCTGGTAAACATCAATTCAGTGGCCATATTTTCATGAAATGATATACCAGAATTTTTTTTATATTAGTAAAAATGTGCAAGCTGATGCTGTTCCAATTGCTCTCAATAGCTAGTGCAAAGGGCACAGCTAACAAACCTAGAACAAGGCAGAATAGGAAGGAATCACTAGGGATTTGAAAGCAGACTATACTTTTTGTAACTCTGACAGAGAGAAAAATGTCTCTCCTTTTGTGCCCATCATGCGTTGCCAAGACTCCAAATACCATCTGCATATCCTTAAGCAGAGAATGTGATCCTACATGCAAAGTGTGCATGACCAATATATCATTCAACTTAGAGCTCCCCCGTACCCCCCAAAAAATCCAGTGTGTCACAGAGCTTGACAATGCTTTCGAGTGAGAGAGAGAGAGTGTAAGTGATTGGCTCAAGCTCATCCAATTGATCTTCATGCCTAAGGGAGGGCTAGAATCTGGATTTCCTCCATCTTATTTTAGCATCTTAATCATTATACCGTACTGACTCTCTCTCTCTCATAAAATGTAATCAATCAAATTAATGCTTGCACTTTTTTTCTTCTATGATTCCTCTCTATGGAGTCCACTTGATAAAAAGCGTCCACAAAAGAGACCTAAAACAAGATGGAGTGATGACATCAGCAAGTATTGTGGGCCCAACTGGCAAAGGAAAGCTCAAGACCATATTGGTTGGAAACATGAAGAAGAGAGACCTTCATCCTGCAGTGGATAGACAATGGCTATAATGATGATGATGACGACAACTTTTTTTTAAACTGCAGATTAAATTTTTCATTATGTTCTAATGTTACTGGTCATTTTGTTTTACCCGCTGGTATTATTGCTTTCAAGGCCCACTGCTTCCACGTTTCTATTTTTTAAAAACATTTTAAAAAGTTAACAAACAAATAAAGCAATATATAAGCCTTTACAGGTTTTGCTTCTAAATGGAGCTGAGTATAAATTGCATTTCAAAGCCAGATCATCATATTTGGTTTTCTGATTCATGCATACAGAGGTTTCACTCAAGATGATGTTCCTGCTCTATATTTAATGAAGAGAGGATAAAAAGAGATGCAAATGAAGAATATCTTGAGGAGAAACTATAGAGGACCAAAAGAAGGATTCACTAAGATTAATATGAAACAAATAAAAGTCTTTCTCTGAAAATACAGGAAGAATGAAGAACAAATTGACAATTTTTTTGAGAAACAGAAAGAATGGTCAATGTTCAGGGAAGTTGGTGAGATAGCTCACTTCCAATAAAACATACCACTGAAAATCTTGTGTAATTAGATTTTGAACATTCCCACAAATACTGGCTTTGTCAGAAGTTAATAACAATTCTCTTCAAACATCACATTCTCTCCTAATAAGCGTTTAATGAAAAAGCACAAAGCATACTGGGTTAGTTATACTTGATATGGAATATTTTTCTTCTTTTTTTGCACTGAGTTGGAGGGGGGAGGTGAAAGAACAAGGCTACATATTACATTAAATTCAGTGCCAAGTACTGTAACTGCACATTAAAAGTCAAAGTGCAGTTCACATGAGAAATGGAAACGCAAAGTGAGCCACTCATCTGGATAAAATACATATATTATTAAATTTTCTCTCTTTATTATGTTGACCTATAAATGCCTAGATGTGCAAGACTGAAATGAGCAAACGGAACTGATCACACAAACAGGATCTGTGTAGGTCACACAAGCCACTGTTTTCAAAAATTCATGAGAACAAAGGTGCAAACTGTTGGAAGTATTTCTGTAGCTTCATAATAACTGCCTCAGAATTGCGATGTGCATGAAGTTTGGCTTTTCATATTCATCATATTCTCCATACCTCATGAATGTTGATATACATGTGTGCACATATACTCTTTCTCACTCTCTCACACACACAATTTTGCATTTCTGTTAGCTATGTAGATCAATCAATTTTCTATTTATACTCTTCCTCCCACTTTCCTCCCATCCCTATTAAGCAACAGCAGTGACATCTTCCAATGTTTAAACCAATAAAATAAACCAAACATTCAGGAAGGCTATTTGTTAACTAAGTTTGCTTCAAAATATAGGAATGTATATTATTTTCAGTTTGCGAAATCAAATCTATTTAATCATCTGGTTCAACACAGAAAAGTTATATTAAAGAGGATTTAACTTAGGAGAACAAGCTATCGATAGGGATGACCCTTTTCTTATTAGACATGTCATCTAAGCATCAAATTTTAATAATACTTTACTTATTTTCCACATATAAATATCAAGTGAGGAAATTAAATGCCTACCAGAGATGATCCCGAATAGATGTATACATCTCATAAGCCATTAAACAGTATTTGCAACCAACAATCAGATATATGTCATGAGTCTTCATAAACCTATTCCTGAAGGAACTAATGGGAAGGATGTATAGCCCTTTGTAGGCCCACCTGGAGGGAAATATTTTAGATTTAAGGGTTTGTAGTTGCATTGCCTGATCTGTAGTGTAGTAAAGAATTGCCTACAGGTAGTCCTCGACTTACAACAGTTCACTTAATGACTGTTCAAAGTTACAACGGTACTGAAAAAAGTGACTTATGACCGTTTTTCACACTTACGACCATTGCAGCATCCCTATGGTCACATAATCAAAATTCAGATGCTTGGCAACTGGTTCACAGTTGTGACAGTTGCAGTGCAGTCTGGGGTCAGCTTTTGGGACCTCCTGACAAGCAAAGTCAATGGGGAATCCAGATTCACTTAACAACCATGTTACTAACTTAGCAAATGCAACCATTCACTTAACAAATGTGGTAAGAAAGATCATAGAATGGGGCAAACTCGTTTAACAAATGTTTCACTTAGCAATATAAATGTTGGACTCAATTGCATTCGTAACTTGAGGACTACCTGTATGCAATTTCAGATATTCAATGAATATCTGTTTGCTAGAATCTGTACTGTTTATGCTTTTAATGATGCATGGGTCTCTTTCTATCATGAGTGGAAACAACAAACCTTTTTTTGCAAAAAAATCCAATGGGCTGCACCTGGAAACAGTAATGAGGCTAAAGAGAATGGGGGTAAGATCTAGGTATTTTTTTAATGTTGTTGTTTGGGAGGCAATCATTTAAAAATGTGCATTAAACAGCTGCTGGTCTACCCTAAAATTAGGGGGGGGGGAGAGAGTTATCCTTCTGGACCCTGTAAAAAGGATATGTGACATACATTTTTATAAAAAAAAAAGCAATCACACAAAATGGCCAATTTGGACATAGATTTTGCTTCAGGTGAACGATCTGAGTAAAATCCATACCCAAACTACATTGTATAAGGCAGCAAAGGACAGGCAGTCCTCTTTGGGACCAGGCCTGAAAGAAAATCCCAAATCTTCAGAAATGCACTCTTCGAAGTCTACTCTTCTAAATAGTTCCAAGGACCCACTGCAGAAGGAAAATATACAAAGCATGAAAAAAATATATGAAAGAATTGGAGAGATAGTCGTAAAGAGTCCTTAAAGCACAAAGTCATCCCTCCCCCATTGTCAAGCATCTGTCAGGCAGGAAAAGCACTCTGGTGGATATAAATTCACCTGATGCCTGGAAGATGAGGGGAGTGGGGAGGCTTATTAAGCTGGCCAAGATTCCTAAACTGCATGTGAAGATCGGCTGTCTTGCCCTTGAATCAAGGGTCTGTGACAGGTGATAAAAGTAAATCTTGAACCAGGAGATGTTTTGTGTCAACTCCCTAGACAGTTTGTATTGCAGCAGGGAATTATTTAAGCCATTTAGACCACTTTTGATACCTATCCCCTTCAAGCCTGTCTATAATTTGCCTGGGTACTCTCTGTACA